CGACGATCAATATCTTGATAAGCATCCATTTACTCATGACAATATGGGTTCAGACGGGCTGATACAATTACAAAGGAATTAGTAAAAGACAGAGTGCTTCACATCATTAAGTGCTTTGAGAGGTTAAGGTTCACCTGTCACCCTAGACCCACTTCAATTTGCTTACCGCCCCAATAGATCCACAGACGATGCAATCGCCATCGCACTGCACGGTGCCCTATCCCATCTGGACAAGAGGAATACCTACGTCAGAATGCTGTTCATTGACTATAGCTCAGCCTTCAACACCATAGTACCCTCCAAGTTCATCATTAAGGTTGGGCCGTGGGTCTGAACCCCGCCCTGTGCAACTGGGTCCTGGACTTCCTGACGGGCCAACCCCAGGTGGTGAAGGTAGGAAACAACACCTCCACTTCGCTGATCCTCAACACAGGGGCCCCACATGGGTGTGTGCTCAGCCCCCTCCTGTACTCCCTGTTCACCCATGACCGCATGGCCACGCACACCTCCAACTCAATCATCAAGTTTACAGACGACACAACAGTAGTAGGCCTGATTACCAACAATGACGAGACAGCCTACAGGGAGGAGGTGAGGGCCTCTCCCTCAATGTCAACAAAACGAAGGAGCTGATCGTGGACTTCAGGAAACAGCAGAGGGAGCATGCCCCTATCCACATCGACAGGACCGCAATGGAGAAGGTGGAAAGCTTCAAGTTCCTCGGCGTACACATCACTGACAATCTGAAATGGTCCACCCACACAGACAGTGTGGTGAAGAAGGCGCAACAGCGCCTCTTCAACCTCAGGAGGCTGAATAAATTTGGCTTGGCCCCTAAGACCCTCAGAAACTTTTACAGATGCACAATTGAGAGCATCCTGTCGGGCTGTATCACCACCTGGTACGGCAACTGCACCGCCCGCAACCGCAGGGCTCTCCAGAGGGTGGTAAGGTCTGCCCAACGCATCACCGGGGGCACACTGCCTGCCCTCCAGGACACCTACAGCACCCGATGTCACAGGAAGGCCAAAAAGATCATCAAGGACATCAACCACCCGATCCACGGCCTGTTCACCCCGCTATCATCCAGTAGGCGAGGTCAGTATAGGTGCATCAAAGCTGGGACCGAGAGACTGAAAAACAGCTTCTATCTTAAGGCCATCAGACTGTTGAATAGCCATCACTAGCCGGCTACCACCCGGTTACTCAACCCTGCACCTTAGAGGCTGCTGCCCTACAGTTGAAGTCGAAAGTTTACATACACTTAGGTTGGAGTCATTAAAACTTGTTTTTCAACCACTCCACAAATTTCTTGTTAACAAACTATAGTTTTGGCAAGTCGGTTAGGACACTACTTTGTGCATGACACAAGTAATTTTTCCAACAATTGTTTACAGACAGATTATTTCACTTATAATTCACTGTATCACAATTCCAGTGGGTCAGAAGTTTATATACACTAAGTTGATTGTGCATTTAAACAGCTTGGAAAATTCCAGAAAATGATGTCATGGCTTTAGAAGCTTCTGATAGAATAATTGATATCATTGGAGTCAATTGGAGGTGTACCTGTGGATTTATTTCAAGGCCTACCTTCAGACTCCGTGCCTCTTTTCTTGACATCATGGGAAAATCAAAAGAAATCAGCCAAGACCTCAGAAAAAAAATGATAGACCTCCACAAGTCTGGTTCATCCTTGGGAGCAATTTCCAAACGCCTGAAGGTACCACATTCATCTGTACAAACAATAGTACGCAAGTATAAACACCATGGGACCATGCAGCCGTCATACCGCTCAGGAAGGAGACGTGCTCTGTCTCCTAGAGATGAACGTACTTTGGTGCGAAAAGTGCAAATCAATTCCAGAACAACAGCAAAGGCCCTTGTGAAGATGCTGGAGGAAACAGGTACAAAAGTATCTATATCCACAGTAAAACCAGTCCTATATCGACATAACCTGAAAGGCCGCTCAGCAAGGAAGAAGGCACTGCTCAAAAACCACCCTAAAAAAGCCAGACTACGGTTCGCAACTGCACATGTGGACAAAGATCGTACTTTTTGGAGAAATGTCCTCTGGTCTGATGAAACAAAAATAGAACTGTTTGGCCATAATGACCATCGTTATGTTTGGAGGAAAAAGGGGAATGCTTGCAAGCCGAAGAACACCATCCCAACCGTGAAGCACGGGGGTGGCAGCATCATGCTGTGGGGATGCTTTGCTGCAGGAGGGACTGGTGCACTTCACAAAATAGATGGCATCATGAGGAATGAAAATTATGTGGATATATTGAAGCAACATCTCAAGACATCAGTCAGGAAGTTAAAGCTTGGTCGCAAATGGGTCTTCCAAATGGACAATGACCCCAAGCAAACTTTCAAAGTTGTGGCAAAATGGCTTAAGGATAACTAAGTCAAGGTATTGGAGTGGCCATCACAAAGCCCTGACCTCAATCTAATAGAACATTTGTGGGCAGAACTGAAAAAGCATGTGCAAGCAAAGACGCCTTCAAACCTAACTCAGTTACACCAGCTCTGTCAGGTGAAATGGGCCAAAATTCACCCAACTTATTGTGGGAAGCTTGTGGAAGGCTACCCAAAATGTTTGACCCAAGTTAAACAATTTAAAGGCAATGCTACCAAATACTAATTGAGTGCATGTAAACTTCTGACCCACTGGGAATGTGATGAAAGAAATGAAAGCTGAAATAAGTAATTCTCTCTACTATTATTCTGACATTTCACATTCTTAAAATAAAGTGGTGATCCTAACTGACCTAAGAAAGGGAATTTTTACTAGGATTAAATGTCAGGAATTGAGGTTAAATGTATTTGGCTAAGGTGTATGTAAACTTCCGACTTCAACTGCCACTTTAATAATGGAACATTAGGCACTTTAATAATGTTTACATACAGCTTTACTCATCTCATACAGTGGGGAAAAAAAGTATTTAGTCAGCCACCAATTGTGCAAGTTCTCCCACTTAAAAAGATGAGAGAGGCCTGTAATTTTCATCATAGGTACACGTCAACTATGACAGACAAAATGAGGGAAAAAAATCCAGAAAATCACATTGTAGGATTTTTAATGAATTTATTTGCAAATGATGGTGGAAAAAAAGTATTTGGTCAATAACAAAAGTTTCTCAATACTTTGTTATATACCCTTTGTTGGCAATGACACAGGTCAAACGTTTTCTGTAAGTGTTCACAAGGTTTTCACACACTGTTGCTGGTATTTTGGCCCATTCCTCCATGCAGATCTCCTCTAGAGCAGTGATGTTTTGGGGCTGTCGCTGGGCAACACGGACTTTCAACTCCCTCCAAAGATTTTCTATGGGGTTGAGATATGGAGACTGGCTAGGCCACTCCAGGACCTTGAAATGCTTATTACGAAGCCACTCCTTCGTTGCCCGGGCGGTGTGTTTGGGATCATTGTCATGCTGAAAGACCCAGCCACGTTTCATCTTCAATGCCCTTGCTGATGGAAGGAGGTTTTCACTCAGAATCTCATGAAACATGGCCCCATTCATTCTTTCCTTTAAACGGATCAGTCGTCCTGGTCCCTTTGCAGAAAAACAGCCCCAAAGCATGATGTTTCCACCCCCATGCTTCACAGTAGATATGGTGTTCTTTGGATGCAACTCAGCATTCTTTGTCCTTCAAACACGACGAGTTGAGTTTTTACCAAAAAGTTCTATTTTGGTTTCATCTGACCATATGACATTCTCCCAATCCTCTTCTGGATCATCCAAATGCACTCTAGCAAACTTCAGACGGGCCTGGACATGTATTGGCTTAAGCAGGGGGACACATCTTGCACTGCATGATTTGAGTCCCTGGCGGCGTAGTGTGTTACTGATGGTAGGCTTTGTTACTTTGGTCCCAGCTCTCTGCAGGTCATTCACTAGGTCCCCCCGTGTGGTTCTGGGATTTTTGCTCACCGTTCTTGTGATCATTTTGACCCCACGGGGTGAGATCTTGCGTGGAGCCCCAGATCGAGGGAGATTATCAGTGGTCTTGTATGTCTTCCATTTCCTAATAATTGCTCCCACTGTTGATTTCTTCAAACCAAGCTGCTTACCTATTGCAGATTCAGTCTTCCCAGCCTGGTGCAGGTCTACAATTTTGTTTCTGGTGTCCTTTGACAGCTCTTTGGTCTTGGCCATAGTGGAGTTTGGAGTGTGACTGTTTGAGGTTGTGGACAGGTGTCTTTTATACTGATAACAAGTTCAAACAGGTGCCATTAATACAGGTCACGAGTGGAGGACAGAGGAGCCTCTTAAAGAAGAAGTTACAGGTCTGTGAGAGCCAGAAATCTTGCTTGTTTGTAGGTGACCAAATACTTATTTTCCACCATCATTTGCAAATAAAATCATAAAAAATCCTACAATGTGATTTTCTGGATTTTCTTTCCTCAATTTGTCTGTCATAGTTGACGTGTACCTATGATGAAAATTACAGGCCTCTCTCATCTTTTTAAGTGGGAGAACTTGCACAATTGGTGGCTGACTAAATACTTTTTTTCCCCACTGTATGTATATACTGTATTCTATTCTTCTGTATTTTAGTTAATGCCACTCCGACATTGCTCGTCCTAATATGTATGTTTCTTAATTCCATTCTTTTACTTTTAGATGTGTTTATTGTTGTGAATTGTTAGATACTACTGCACTGTTGGAGCTAGGAACACAAGCATTTCGCTACACCCACATCTTCTTCATCTGCTAAATATGTGTATGTGACAAAATTGTATTTGATTGTGATTGTGATTGTTAACTTAACTGTGTGAGTGTGTGTGTCTGTGTCTTCTTCTGTGAGTGTGTCTGTGTGTCTGTTTTAGTGTGTCTGTGTGTCAGAGAGAGAGAGAGAGAGAGAGAGAGAGAGAGAGAGAGAGAGAGAGAGAGAGAGAGAGAGAGAGAGAGAGAGAGAGAGAGAGAGAGAGAGAGAGAGAGAGAGAGAGAGAGAGAGAGAGAGAGAGAGAGAGAGAGAGAGTCACTCACCTCATCCAGACAGCGTTCATACTGCTTCCTCTGGTTGTCGTTCTCCATCGTCAAGGCAGAGTTCTCCACCTGTAATAGCAAAAACCTCCAGATATACTGAATATTTACACAAAAAACATCTTCACGTGTCCATATAAATATCTTCTTAATATAAATCTGTAAATATTACAGATAAATATACCACTTGAATACACATCAGCTCTTGACTGAGCAGAAGGTAACCCTTGTACTCTTAGAATGTTTTGTTATTTCTAGAACTTGAAAGGGTTCCTCAGCTGTCCCCATGGTAGAACCCTTTGAAGAACCCTTTTGGGTTCCGGTATGAGTGTACGCAACACATTCTGTACATCACCTCCTTGCTTACTATTCTACAATCTCTTTCTCACTGGAGTCATACGTCAATAAGGGCTTTATGAGGCCTCTCTGCCAAAGCATACAAAGATAATGGATAATGGTATAAATCTGTGGTTTCTCAATCCTATCCCTAAGAGCCACCAGGTCTCCTGGAGTGGGTGTAGCGAGGTATCCCAGGTGGAATTAAATTACTGATAGAAGGTTTCCAATCAGGAACTGATCCATTCCAGGAACACAGAAGTGAGCGAGGTGACTTTCCATTGAAATTATGAATTCAGTAAATCTATCAAGGGCTAGCTAAGGAATTGTGTTGGTCAAGAGACTCAGGCATGCTACTTTGTAAATCTTGTAGACAACTGCTGGAAGTGTTTGGTGTTTGTGGTTTGCGAGGGAGGAAAAGTGAATAGTTTGTTTGATGCTCAACCTCGATTCTCTCAACAAAGAGAGTTGAGGTGTTGCTGAAAATCACAGGAACACTTCATAAGGTATAGAAGCAACTCACAATGATTTACAAAACAGTTTTATTGACCTCTCATATATACTATGTTCTTTAATTAGGATGCGCATCACTGTTTTTTTGTATTGTATAAATGTGTGTCCCTGCCTGCCTGTGTGTGTGTGTGTGTGTTCGTGCATCACATTTTTACACCACCCACAGCTCTTTATGCGTTCCATTAGCACTAACACTCCGTAAATAACAGTGGGTTTAAATTTGAATAATCAAAACTTAGATTAATAATTATTTGAAGACAAACAATTAAGTTGATTGACATGCGGAAAGCACAGTATCAACCCAGATATCCGTCTCACTCCTTTGACTCCTCAGCAAGCAAATAAGAAACAAATTACTTTTTGGTTGAGGTGGTGAAGAGAATCAAATGAGAGGCTTCTCTAGACAGTGAGCACAGTGGGCTGGATCTGTGTTCATTTGTTTATTGACTCACCTCAGTTTGCGGCAAATTGTTCATGGCGGATTACAGGGAAGGCCCCCAAGTGTCTTCACTGACATTTTCAACCTCTCCCTGACCCAGTCTGTAATACCTAAATGCCCAAGAACGCCAAAGTTGACCTGTATAAATGACTATCGCCCCGTAGCACTCACATCTGAAGCCTTGAAATGCTTTGAAAGGCTGGTCATGGCTCACATCAACACCATCATCCCGGACACCCTGGACCCACTCTAATTCACATACCGCCCCAACAGATGCACAGATGACGCAACCTCTATTGCATTCCACATTGCCCTCTCCCGACTGTATAAGAGGAACGCCTATGTGAGGATGCTGCTCATTAACTACAACTCAGCATTCAACACAATAGTGCCCACCAAGCTCATCACTAAGCTCAGCACCCTGGGACTGAACACCTCCCTCTGCAACTGGATCCTGTGCTTCCTGACAGGGTGATGGTAGGAAACAACATATCCGCGACGCTGACCCTCAACACGGGAGCCCCTCAGGGGTGCGTGCTTAGTCCCCTCCTGTACTCCCTGTTCAGCCACGACTGCGTGGTCGCGCACGACTCCAACACCGTCATTAAGTAGGCCTGATCACCGACGACGATGAGACAGCCTACAGGGAGGAGGTCAGTGACCTGGCAGTGGGGTGCCAGGACAACAACTTTTCACTTAACGTCAGCAAGACAAAGGAGCTGATCGTGGACTACTGGAAATGGAGGGCAGAGCTTGCCCCCATCCATATCGATGGGGCTGTAGTGGAGCGGGTTGAGCGCTTCAAGTTCCTTGGTGTCCACATCACTGAGGAATTAATGGTCCACACACACCAACACAGTCATGAAGAAGGCACGCCTAGCATGGACCCTCAGATCATAAAAAAAAACACAAAGAAGTTATACAACTGCACCATTGAGAGCATCTTGACTGGCTGCATCACCTCTTGGTATGGCAACTGCTTGGCATCAGACCACAAGGCACTATAGAGGGTTGTGCGTATGGCCCAGTACATCACTGGGGCCGAGCTCCCTGCCATTCCGGACCTATATACCAGGCGGTGTCAGAGGAAGGCCCTACAAATTGTCAAAGACTTCAGCCACCCAAGTCATAGGCTGTTCTCTCTGCTACCGCACAGCAAGCTACCTCGATTAACACGTACCCCTGCACATCGACTCGGTACTGGTACCCTGTGTATATAACCAAGTTATCGTTACTCATTGTGATTTTATTCCTTGTGTTATTATTTTTCTATTATTTCTCTATTTTTCTCTCTGCATTGTTTGGGAAGGACCCTTAAGTAAGCATTTCACTGCTAGTCTACACCTGTTGTTTACAAAGCATGTGACAAATCAAATTTGATTAGATTAGATTTTTGAAGTGTGTTTCACAGCCGGAAAACTAGGGAAGTAGTTTGAAATTAAATGAAAAAATGTATAATGTAAGTCAAAGTTTATTACAAGTATAATTTCAAAGGGAAAGCAGACACCATGAAAATATATGAGTCTGAAAGTCAAAACATAAAATATGCAATAGAGTGTACAGAGGCAGACAAGGTATTCAATGTTATTCAAGAAACCAGTTTATGGAAGTAATAGTCATGGTTGCATGCTAAATGAAATGTGGATGTCATCCTCCTGAGATGCTCTATCTCAATTCCAAATACATTTCATTGTAATACAATTAAAACTATGAAGGCTACTGCTGAGTTAGATGACACTGTTTTCATTAATCCAGTCTAATTAATGTGGATATATATATAATAGTCCATCCAGTTGGCGACAGATTTTCATGCAAATATTCTAGATTCCGTATAAAGAAGATATGCGCAATTTCACACCAGTGGTGTGTTTCTACAAAATGGAGTTGTTGTGGGTAGAAATCAGTGCGAGATGACTTAGTGCACACAAAATCTAATTTTTTGCTTAAGTTTTCATGTACCGAATAAAAACGTAAAGTTCAATGTGTTTCCATCGCATTTTCAACTCTACCGATAGTTTTTTCACTAAAACTGCTGAGTTAAGTAGCAAATTTGCCTACTCTGGTCTTGGCACGTGCGCTCTAGCCAACAGCTGGCAGACACAGTGTGGGTAGGCTGTGCGGTTAGGCTAGTCTATATGATGAGATTATTATGGGTAAGAGCAAGAATATTTTATTTGTCAAAAGGCAGTCAAGCATCGATCATCATGTCACCAGAATAAGACCCTGTATATTTACTGGAAAGGAGCATCAAGATCACCCTGCACTTTCAACACCCTCTGAAGTTCAATGTAGCCTAATAAACTGCATGGTTTCCCAAATCGTAGTGGGAGGACCACACACCATATCATCGCGTGACTCAGAGTTTACTTCGACATGATGGTTATTATATAAATATTTGCGCATAAAGGCGTTTCCACCACCATTTTGCTCATAAATAATTTTACCGACACAAAAAGATCACATCATGTCGAACGAACAAATGAACTGTCGGCATTTATAAATTGTACCGAAACGTCCTGTTTCCATCACAGCTGTCGTGAATTTCTTTTTATACGGTATGACTTAAAAACTGTGGATGGAAACATGGTTACTGACAGTCTCTCAATTAGCACGTCGGCTAACATGTTTTAGATTGCTAGGTAAGGTAGTCTAGCCAGCTATCTAAACCTTGTAGTAAACACCACCAAATTACCGACCGGGCACACAGGGCATGTGCCCAGGGGTCCTGACCTCCAGGGGGCCCCTATTGATATTGTTAGTCACTCTCACTCAGATATAATTTGAACATGGCATAAATCATGGCAAAATGTGTAGAATTGCAGGAAATGTGCTTTAAAACTGCTAAAGTTTCTCTCCACCTCATGGCAAAATTGCAATAATACCTTTGAAACTGCAAACATTTCTATGAGGAATACATTCAAAGGAACATGGGCTTCAAACGTTAACTACCCTGTTCGTTATTTAATTATCATGTACTGGATATGACTAAGTACTGTCAAATCAGACCCAGTCCTCTTTGCATGAATATACTCAGGCCTTTTCAAATAGAAAATACTGAAATGAACACAAAGAATGAATAGAGTAGAATAGAATAGAATGAATAGAATCACTGTCATCTTATCGTTTCATCAAGCTTCTTTCTGCATTAACCTGGGACTATGTATTCAATGAGCTCTTAGCTCATAATGGAATCAGCCAGACTAAAGTACGATTGATGGTCTAAGGAATGTTACCTGGCAGCTACAACATACAGAATGAATGTGTATAGTTATCAAAAGTGTTTCTGACAGGCCAGATACTATCCGCTTCAGTACGGTGCCCACTGCACTATGGTATCCTCATATAACCTTTGGAGAATTTAAAATGTTCTCTTTATGGGCCATATTCAGACAAAGAATGTCCAGTGTAGGGGCAGGCGTTTGCTCCAGCCAAGCAGTAACACACCTGGTTCAACTAATCATAGCTTGACCAATCACCTTTAATTAGTAGAATCAAGTGCATTTCTATTTGGTTGGAGAGAAAGCCTCCAAGATTGTCCGTCTCTGACCTACATACAAGTAACACCATTGTAACCAGCACTTTATCTACTCTTAATTTATGCTTATATAATGATATAATACAAATTAGCCAATGTGAATGGGCTTCCCGTTCCTGACCAACTTCGTATATACCAAAGTATGACATTACAGTAAAACATTTATATTGATAATTAACCTAATGAAGTACTTATTATCCATAAGAGAGGATGGAGAGAGGTACTAAGGGAAAAGAGACCCTTCTGTAGCTGAGCTTACCTCAAGGGCCCGCAGACGCTCTAGAATGGGCTTGGTTTCATCGTAGTCCTCCTCGTGTCCACTACTGCTGGCTCCTGGAGAGTTGGGCCTCCTTTCTGTCGAGGGGGGCGGTGGGCCCTCCAGACTGTTCTGCTGTTTCCACATCTCCTCCAGGAGTTTGTCCTAAACCATAGAGAGAGGGGTTGCAGGGAGCCACAAAGTTGCTGAAACTAGTTGCCTATTGGAACTAATGGGCTATTTGCCTCCTCTATTTTCTCTAGCATACAATATACTATACATGTACACAAAGTATTCATAGAATGACATTGAATTTGGCCTACAGTATGGATTTTATTTACTAATATACAGAAGGTGAACTGCTGTTCTGCATCTGCAGTTTGCTGTATATGGATGTAGCTACAAGCACTGTGCAGGCAAGCAAATTAAGACTTCCAAATCATAGTATTTTGACTCCTTCCAAGAAAAACAATCACAGGATTTGTTTAATGTTATATTTGATATTTTGTAGCTGCCTCTTCACAATTATAGTTGGTTTTACAGCCACAACTAACACTGTAGGCTACTTCTTATTTTGCTAGCTGCTTATTTGACCAGTTTTCCACCATAACTCATAGGGGTTGTCCTTGGTTGACCCCCCAAACAACTTGGCATTAATTATCTGTAACATTATGAAATATGGGACCCCATATGTTACAAAAACATCAAACATTTATAAAGATCTCCTTCCTTCCATGAAGTCTTGTGAAATAACTTTAAAAGCCCTGATGATTAAAAATGCATTTGAATTATGAGGCTTATTGGCATTTGTACTACGCTGCGTTCGTTTTTATGTCAAGCACTTTCACCCTCGCTACCTACGCCAATCAATAGCATCTCCCAAACGCTCAAGATGAGGACTAATTGAAAAGGCGTGTGAGGACATAGTGTGCTGTCGAGTCTACAAAACATCATGGCTGCAAATCGATTTACTGTTCATCGCATTGCAACTTTCTCGAAACCAAGCAACTATCCAGTAGACAATTAGTAAGGTCTCCAGTGACACATACTTCCCTCATAATTACTTATACATGCAGTGTAGTGCAGTGTTACATATGTGCAAATTAAAATCCAGCCACTTTCCCATTAATCATGATTAACAATGTGTTACAGGTACTTAAAACCTGAATTGTGGCCAAAGACCCCAAAATGGGAAACAGGAAAAACAAAATGATATCTTGCACAGAGATCAGGGTGAAATGTTTTTTATATGACAATACAATAGCACCCCATCGACGTATTGTATTGTAACGACCCTGGCCTGAATGAGTTGGTAGCATTCCCCAGTTTATTAACTATTTTGGGACTGTGGTTAGCGTACTTGCCTTGGGGCCAGGCGAACCCCAGTGGTCGTACCTGCTCTTGACGGTCGCTGCGTTCGTGTCAGAATGTATGACTAGCCTAAGCTGCTACAGTATATGACCTTCATCAGGAGATTTGATAGAATCTAACCTAAGGGTGACCACTCTTCCCACGGTCTCTTCCGAATACCCTGCCCCCACGCTACTGTATGTAGTACATCACGATATTACAGGGGATTGCCGATGACAGTGAACTGAAAGGTAATATATTTTTTTGTGATATGATCATTTCTCCCCCAAAATCGCTGATTGTTCACAGCCTTTTATCCAACACTGTTTATTACAGAACCTGGAAGGTGATTTATCAGGTGTTGCATACTTGCATAACAAAATGTTTTCATTATTTAGTTAACAACATAAACAGAAAGCAAATGAACCAATATGGTCAGTGCTGGACCTTGTAGGCCTTCATGAGGTCTAATGGATCCACCCTGGGGCCCTCCAGTGTGTCCTGGTTCTGTAGCAGGCTCCTCACCATCTCCTCCATGCTGCAGGCACACAGAGCAAGGGAACCAATCAGAACATAAACCGTGGAACAAACAAGCCTGAAAGAAAATGTTTTTTCAATGTTTTGCAACTGAAAACTAAAATGAGCCTTTCTTACTGGACAAGTCCAGGTAGTCCCTTCCTGTTTCAGACAGTGTTCTTCCGTTTGGTGCCTAATGAACACGATTCAGGTCTAAGCAACAGTATGGGCGCAATGGGCTGGTTTATACAGTATATGGGAGGACAAATACATGCATGTAACAGCACATGTCATGAAGCTGATATTGAATGCGTTTCAGATCGACACCCAGGATAGTGTGTCAACAAACCGAACAAAGTGACACTTCATTCTAAGGGATACATAAGATAAGACATTACTATTTTACACCTGACATAACTATTATTTAAGCATTATGAATGCGTTATATGTAACCACATTACCACAACCTCCTAACTAACAACAAGTAGCCTACAAAGAGACCTCAGTCATCCATGAATAAGATCATAGCCCCAAAATATTTTGACTCTAACCCATTGTATCCATACTTTAGATTACTCTGCTGGTGAACGCTTTGCCCGTCAGTTAGTAACCTTTGCAAACAACCATCATGCTAGCTGACATTTGCGCTCTTAGTCCTCATTAAACGAGCAGATCCTTGTTTACGGATTTGTAATTGCTTTCCCTTAGAGCGCTGGATGCTTGAGAGACACTGACCGCGTTTCCCATAATGCCGTACTCAGTGACATTTTGCTTGGTTATTTCCATCGCAACTTTTCTCCGCTTGATGCACGTGGCACGGATATTAGTCCAACCCAGCTAACTGTGACCAGGCCCTTGACAGCCTTGCTAGGCAACTCTTTGAGAGAGAGTCTTAGATATTGGAGATAAACACTGGCACTGACCTGAAACCTCCCCAGAAAATGAACAGGAGAGGAGGTGAGGCACCCACTTATGCGTGACTAGCAGGAATTTACAACAAAAAATGCTAAGTAAAAACAAAGGAAAGTAACCAAATGCAATAATACAACAATGCACACAGTTGTAGTTGTATATAGTACTTTACTCTAATAAATACATTCAATTCAATGTATTCATTAGATTAAGTACTAGGAACAACGGGTTCACTGTGTGACACAGCTTGTAGTTACATAAGAACAGAAGTTGCTGAACTGTATCAAACGTTTACATAATAATGTGTGAGTACTTTACTAAAATGATTTGCACCCTCGTTGATTTGCTTTCATGACGTTTAGCCATAACCTCTTCTCAACCCTGCTGAGCGAGCCCCTCTTCTTAGAGCTTGTCTAACCATCACTAAATCCCCTCCATCCCTTTCCATTCACTTGTCACACTGACCTTGACTCCTGGGCTAACCTATGGCAGCCTGGCGCTTTGTGTCACATTACTGTTTCATTCACATATATCACAGTGAGACTGGTATGCATGACATACCAGTCTCACTACAGCTCAACTTTGTCTCATTCAGAATATAATAATAATATAATAATATAATATATAAATCTTATTCCCATCTCTGTGCTTTTCCATTTATCACAACTTTGTCCCATTACATCTCATTCTCAGCCCATTTATTCAATCACATACAGTATAATACCATTCTCAGAACATCACAGCACTTCATTATATCACTGTCTCATTACGTCTCAGCTCTGTCTCACTTCATACATTGCAATTCATATAAAATGACATGCTCTTAAACTAACCAATTGTTTATCTTCAACCTCAATAAAACCTTATTTTAAACTCCTCTTATAACACACAGTCAACCACTCACCCCATTCCGTTTTTCCATCCAATTTCAGGGACGTTGTTATTCCCTCTCAATAATGCTACAAACATGGTGCACATATTCCTCAGATCCATACTGTAGCTGGGATTCAGTTAGCATTCCGTGTGTATGAGTGGGCATTTGGTAAAAGTGGGTCTCCGGCCTCCTTATGTAGGCCAGTGAGGAATAATGTGAGCCTGAGTGCTCCCGGGATCGGAAAATGACATGTTCCACCCTCTGTTCGACTATTCACTAAAAAGGAGGCCCCTGTCTCTGTGGCAACCCCATCCCATGACTATGGCAGGGGGAAAGGTTGGGAGTGATGCCCTCTTCCCTCTGTCCACAACTGAATTCCTCAAGGGCAGGGTGAATGCAGCATTTAAGGCCTTTACTCGTAATTAGTTATCAGCAACAGCCTTTAGCTCAATGTAGCACTATGGATGGAGTTTGAAAAAATACTCTAAATATGATATTATTTTCCTCATACAGGACTTACAAGTTTACACAATATCAGAACTAAGACATTAGTCCCTGTTCTACTGTGTAATATGCTCACTGCTTCTATCAAGCATGCATGACAAACTATAGAAATGTTGTTAAGAGACCACCAAATCACAGTTATAACAATAGTTGTTTTGTTTTCATGGATTACTGAAACTAGGCAGTTCAGACAGACACAATGTTCAGACAGACAGCCTGTTCAGACAAACAGACAGACAACCTATTCAGACAGACAGAGTGCAAAGGGGCGGACAGACGGACAGACAGACAATGTAAATATGTAAACGCACAAACACATTCACACAAACATATAGCTGGCCTACTGTCACACAGATAGTAAAGGAGGCAGGTAGTACCATACCTGGCTTGTATTGTCCTAGTAAATCACCCTGTTCAATTGAGTTCTTTTTTACTGCATTACTGTTAGACCACTAACCGTGACAGCATCAAAACATTACAGCCACAAATCAACTTAGAGACAGAAAAACAATCAGGTGCTTGTCCCTTCATGGATTGGGATCACACAGGTCCACCTTGTGGTGACCTCTTATCACCTTTTCTTGACCAAGATCCAAAAACACAGCCTGGTGAGTAGTGCTTCAGTGTGTTTCAGTGTTGGCCTTTTGGTGAACTCTGTCTGCCCTCGTCCTCATCCATCTATAGTGAAGTCATATGATCACTTACTCACATGGGCAGTAGCTCATGAGGGAATTCCACCGTAAAAAAAAAAGCATGGACAAGAGTAAATCATAAGACTACAGCTTCTTTTAAATGTTTGATTACCATCTTGTACCATTTATTATTTTTCATAGAAAAAGTTGGTGTATTGATGGTTATGGTTAGTATTTGTTGAGCCGTTATTTAATAAATGGTAAGATTACCTTCTCATTAGATGACAAATTATACAGTTTTGATAGTTATTTAAGTATTTTAACTGTTGACCTTTGTTAGCATTTTGCAAGAGAAATGTGTTGTTTTGGCAAACACACTTGCAGTTTAGTGGGCTGTGTTTACAGTTTGCAAAAGTGATCCCTGTTTCGAGTGTTAAGCAATCGAGAAAAACTCTAATCACACAAAGAGGCCTGCCAGATAATACTGCTATGTATAGTTAAATGCTTATTGGGGATCTGGGACCACTTAAACCTCTTGCATTACAAGGATAAAGCATTACATTTCTGATTGTGAAATGTTGCTAATGTTACAAGCATTTGGTTAATGTGTGTGTGCATGCATGTGTGATTTCCGCACACCTGTGTGTGTGTGTGTGTGTGTGTGTGTGTGTGTGTGTGTGTGTGTGTGTGTGTGTGTGTGTGTGTGTGTGTGTGCGTGCGTGTGCATGCGTTCGTACTTGCGTGTGTTCAACCCCACACGTGGATATTCCCCTTGTATGTGGTCATCTAGATTTTCTCCATTGAAGCCACCTACAAAGCGACAACCACCTTATCACCAAATGGTTTGTTGCTGCTCCATAATATTTTGCCCAAGGCTACAATTCTCAAAACCTCCCCCATCTCCAGCACACAATGTGTGAATGGATGGCCTAGTTTTACAAACAGGCCATGAAGTGACCCCTTTCACCGTCCGCTCCAATGACAGACCCTAACTACTGTAGCCCTGCTAATCTGAGGCAGGCAGGCAGAGACTAACTCAGAGCACAAAGCTGGCCTCTGCTCTCCAGGGTTGTCATTACTGAGCAGCCACAGCTTTCTAATGCACTGAAGTGTATCTGGATACCAGAAGCTCCACAGAAAAACACTTTTAACTCTGGAGTTGAGGTTGAATACAGTCAAGAGGGGGAAGTGGGTCAATGAAGTGGATCGTGTACTATTGCAGGTTGTCAGGCATTTTCAATTGTTAGGTTCTCTACCAGCATTAATGAATGAAATATTATCTTTATGTGGTGCAGGGATCACAGATATCAATTTACCTATGTAACGCCAGATCGAAGAGTGGTTTGAGTCTGCAACACAATTATCATATCTCCCTGTCTGAAAATGGTCTGTACAACAGTTATTCGGCTCCGCCTCGATTAGACCAAACCACATAAACTTTCTGTAGGCCTACATCTAATTTACTTTTGGGGGAGGCAAAACCTTTGTGTGCATATTCAACTGGGTTTATTTAAATGTAAAATTAAGATGTGTGCTTGTCAATTAAAAGAACAGTGCTTTAGGGAATATTCATTGACATTTTGGAGAGGGTGCAAGATAAGAAAAAACTATTACAAGGTTTAATTGGTGTCTCCAAGTGGCCACACACCTCTCCAAACTGTGCACAGTTCCTAATGAATTTCAATGCACTTCTATGACTCAAGGAAAGAGCCTTCAACTATAAGGTGCTTTTTTGAGCTCTCCTAGTTTTGCCATTGAAGCAAGCACACTTGTCGTTTTTTGTTTGGAACATAGCCTTGCGTCCCCACCATCACACAATTACTGTTGTTGTTTACGCAATCCAAAAATGTTCCATTATAAATCGCAATCTGGGTCAGGTGGGCATCATTTAAAAGCTTATTCTATTGCCAAAATGGCTACCTAAGTTATAAAATATGATCTTACATTTTTAGGCTTTCAAAAGGCACTTCAGACAAACCGATTGTAATTTTGGTGTGCATAGAATGTAGTCATGAGTGCAATCAAGTGCTTTTTTCCTGTGGCAAACATAGGCCCATTATGTTCAGGACAACCCAGGGTATAGTGCATGTCATCCTTGT